TTCGGAAAGAATTTTTACGGAATATTAACTAACGACCAGAGACGTAACAGTATTATTTCACGATACCCACAAAAGTTGGTTGATGTTTAACTGAATACAAGAACTAAATCAGATTAGATTTGTCTCTATTGTGTTTTCCTTTCATGTAAAGATAGTTTCGAATGCACCATTCTCCCCCTTCCACTTTCCTCGATGTTTTTGCGGCAAATCTGAGGGCTTATAGCCCTAAAATCTGGTTTTCGATATACCCGCCATGGGACAGAGCACAAATAACCCACTGTGTAGCCTTGCGCTTAACAGAAAACAAACAAATATTCTCGTGTAGTTCTTATATATTCCATTTATTTGTTTTATATATCTTCCGAGTTGTTTTTAAATAAACTTTTTTTTACGCTTCAAAGAGTATTGATAAAAATTTAAATTCGACTAAAAGAGTAAATAAATAGAGATACTCTGAAGTGCAGTTAACGTGCTAATATAACAACGAATGAAATATTAGAGATACGCCCTTGGTAAAATGACCCTTTTGTCAAAGATTAGATCATTAAACGTGTTATAACTGAAGGCTAGCACCTAACCCTACATGTGTATTTCCAGTATTGTTGATTATACCTTTTTATAGGTAGTTGTAAAGCTTTCGACTTTAAAATACACATACTATACAACTGTACAGCACGTAAATTTTCTACTCTATAATTTGCTTTCTTGCGGACAATATTAATAATAAATAAATGTGCGTGTGGTATGTTTTATTTTACCTAGAATACTAACAGTCTTAATTTTTAAGAGCACTGGTAGTACTATAAATATACATAGAGCAATAATATAATTTGCAGTTAACGTTTCTTTACTCAACCTACATTTTCCTGTCAGACTTCATTTCTCAGTAAGGCACGAGATAATTTGACTGATTAGTTTTACAAACGTCACCCACGTATTTCAGTAGATGAAGAAAATATAAAATTTGAAGTCTTATAAAACACATAATATAATTTATTGTTTAATTTATTAAAGTGTCGCTGCGTTAAACTATATTTCAGAGCCATAAATAAAGAGAGTTTGGCTAACTAAACAATAGGCGCCATGTTGTTACCCATTGTGAGTGGGATTTCAATCGTTTTAACGTGTAAACTACCTGCACTGTCTGCGTGGTATTGCTTTATTCGCCTTAAATATGGGTACATTTTACATAATAATTGATTTATTTAATTGGTTGAATTTACTTAATTTAATTCAACTAACTAAAGTTTTACACCAAAGTTGATTTGATTTTAAAATAAGAATTAATTGATTAATTGTCAATCAACTGCAAATTAACTGAAGAAATTTTGTATTGATTAACAAACATGTAAATAGTAATTATTTTATACTGAAATTCTGGGTATAGTTTCAACTATTAGAAAATAACTCCGATCTCATAACTTCAATTGAGCAAACAATACATAACACAAGAATCAGTCGTTAAAATTAAAGGATTTGTTAGTTCAATTTAACTTAACCTTCCTGATAATCAATATAATGATATAATTAAATAACTTCATGAAAATGTTTGTTTGTTTTTAATTAAGCACAAAGCTACACAATGGGCTATCTGTGCTCTGCTCACCACGGGTATCGAAACCCGGATTCTAGCGTCGTAAGTTCGCAGACATACTGCTGTGCCACTGGGGGGCTCGTGAAAATGAGTTCATTCAATTCAAAATTGTAATTTAATTAACACCCCAAGTTAATTGCCCAATATATTTGTTTTTCCTCTACGATAAAAACATGGAACTCCGAGGGATAATGAAAATCGAAGCATTAGAAAGTGTGGCATCTTTACAAGTTAGTAGATTCACATTACAGAAAAAACAAACAAACATACAAATGTAATGATAAATGTATCTAGAATTATTTTCATTGCACCATATGATGTTTTCATATAAATTGACAATTTTCTTTCTTCCAGTAGTAGTTTATTGTAATAATACCAATAAAAACAGTTATATATACATAATTAACACTCTAGCAAACTTTTAAGTATGAGACAGGAACAGTTAGGCCATTAGAGAAATGATTAAATAGCTGAAATACTGCACAGGTACAAACTGCAGTAATTTTCCATGTGAGCCACAAAGAGAGTATTTTAAACATGAAAGTAGCTAAAAAAATTAAAGTTTAAGATATGATCTACGTGGTAAAGACATAGTATGACAGTACTTACACCTAATAAATGAAAAAAAATCAATATTACATGGACATATGAAGTGGGATATTTTGGTAAGCAAACTTTGTTTTCTAAGATGGAACGTTTTAAAACATGCCAGAATATTTGGTTAGTACATCTATTGTTTACTTAAGTTTTTGCACAACAGCCCACATGGCCATATTTTTGCTCCCAAGTTCACCGCCTGATTTTGATCCCTTGAGTTTATTTTTCCAGAGATTCTGCCGTTTCTTCACGTAGATATGAAACCCACAAGAGAATACTTTATTCAAGAATTTTCCTTTATACTATGGCAAGAAGGTAGATTTATATCTTGGGTAAATATTTCTGCCTACTTGAAAAGTTTTGCCACTGCCTAGCGTGTCCTGAACTTCTCTAAAGAGGTGCTCCGTGTGATTGGAAGTCTTCATACCATTCTTCACAACAGTGGGTAAGACTGCCTTCCTTGTATTATTTCAACTGTGTGAGTTTCTGAAGGCTGCCTTCACTCGGTAATTGTACTTGTTCTTCTACAGCTTCTAAACATGTTGAGCACAAAATCATCCCTTTTTTATTTCATTTCGGCCATACAGTAACTTTTTGCTTTCCAGTATTCACGACGAACTTTTATTTCCCATTTCCGTCTTCGTTCTGGATCTCGAGGGAATCTGTGTACCATCTTTCCACAGCCAAATCTTCGTTCGTTCAGCATCGAGTTTTAGGTCGTTGGGCGACCTGGGAGGGTCAGGTTTTCATTTGACCTCTTCCTCCCTCCTTTATTATTGTTAGCAACTGTCAAAATTCTACTATTATTATTCTATGCATCAGGTTCATATTAGTACAACACTTAATAATAAACTGATTTGTCTTTGCCTTTTCAGGGTCATATCCTTGAATAGTATAGTAGTAGTATTTAATGCTATTTTATTCATCGGATCATTTGATTGCACACACACACAAGCATTTCATACCAAAGTATTTCGCTTAATTTGGTTCTGTATGGTAGCAAGAAATATCCTTTTTGTTTACACAAGATATATCTACCTGCATGTGTTTTCACATAAATACCCTTTTTAAATACTCGGTAGTATCTAAGTCTTAGTGGTAGTTTTAAAGTCTAATACAGATGGATTTGTTCTTATTATAGAAATTTAGTGGAGAGAGAGAGAGATACTTAACTCTTCCATCATGTATGATATAGCGATCTATTTCAATTAACAAGTCATTTTTATTTACATTTTTGTCAAAGTAGCGGATCGAGCAATCTGTTAACGTGTCTTTTATTGGACGTATGTTTGCATATTTATGCAAGTATGTAGAAGTTGTGTATCTTGGAGCTCTAAATGTTGTAGTTAGTAATAAAGTTTGGATAGTTTGTAATTTCTTAAGATGTGTTTTTGCAATATTTAACCATGCGTATTCGATTACTGGTCTGACGTATGGTTTATATATTTTAATCATGTTCTGTGTTGTTTGCTCCTATATTTTTTACCAGTTAATCTTTTAATACAGTTTGCTCGTTGCCACACTTTGTTATTTATTTTGGCAATGTGTTTATTCCAAGTTAATTTAGAATCATAAGTTATTCCAAAAATTTTGCTGATGTAAGCACATCAAGAAGAGCCCCGTTTAGATATAGTTTGAGTGGGTTTCTATGATTTTTAATCGATTTTGTAAACACATTTAATTTTGTTTTGGGGACATTAACTTTAATTTTGTTTCTTTTTTTGTACAATATTCTATTATTCGATTTAATACCGGCTTGTATTAGTTGACTTTAATTAGCACAATTACAAATGAAGTGATATCGAAATTTATTAAAATAGTCTTTTGCTACAATAGTGGGATGTCATGATGAAACATCTCTAAAGTTTACTAGAAGCGTATTAGTTTTTTGTTTGTCTCAAAATAGAAGAATTATAAAAAAATATAATAAAAAGCACATTTATACAAGAAGATATTACTTTGTTGGGGTCATTTTTTCATTTGTTCCAACAGCTCTCCAGTATAGCATTCTAGAGTGACTTTTTTAACTTCTCGCAAAGCTACTCGAGAGATGTCTGCGCTAGCCGTTCCTCCATTCTTGGGACACTCTTTTAACAACGAATCATAAGATTTATCATAACATTATAATGACCCACGGCTGAAAAGGCGAGCATACTCAGTGATGTGGATTCGAACCCGCAGGTTGCGAGTCGAGCGCCCTAAGCATCAGCCTATACTTAATTAAAGTAACGATTGCATTTCTAAAATTTTAGCTTTAATCAATGAGCTTCTGTTTCCAGTAGAGTCGGATGACGTTTCAACTTCTATACTGAGGTCTTCTTCAGGTCGAAATAACGACTGCATTTTTTTGTGATGATTCAATGACGTGTTCAAAATTGCAGTTTGTCATTTTATAGTCGATAACATTGTTTAATCGTTGTAAGTATATTTGGTAAAAAAAAATACCCTGAGAACGTAATATTCTATTTTACTTTGACTTTTGTTCCTTTGATGTAGCCCTTACCCGGATTCCAAGTTGGTTAAGATTATAGTTGACAAAGTTTAGTATACAAATCAAAACTAGGTTTTTATCACCTATCGGAAAATTATTCCAATCGAAGTGATTAATTTGTAACTAACTGGACGTCATATGTTTGTTTTCTGCAGTGCTCGTGAAGTACAGATGGAATAAAAACAAGTATGACTCATTAATTTTGAAGTATGCGTAAGACGAAGAAGAGTTCGAAGCAGACAGGTCATCGTAATACTTACCAAGTATATCACGTTGCTGATTTTATGTATTTTTCTGACAGTGCAATGTTCGTTAATTACAAGCGGAACGACACCAGCTATAACACATAATTATTAAAGTGTTCTTAAGAAACAAAATAATTTGTTCATATGGATGAGAACATCCACTTAGAATTCCCAAACACTTTGGAGTTAAGGGCTGTACTGCGTCTGTATAAAATTTAATAACGCTCTAGATTAGCAGATGAGAGAACACGATTCTACAGGCACTGTTATTACAGTTTCAGAATTATGACCTTCTTGTAATAAACATAGAGCGACCATAGGCCTAATAATCGCCCGAAAAATACATAATTAATTATTTTTGGCTAAACTACATCTTTAACATTTTAAAATAATATGAAAATAAAATTCTAAAAATTTGTGAACCACAGTTGAGTGTTGTTTTGTGAGTGTCTTCGTATACATTTCTCGTTGTACTCTCGAAGGTCATAGACCGTAAGCTGATACGCAATATGCGCTTGTTATATTTGTTCAGCGATGATATAACACCTCGCTAAAAACTAAATGAAAAGTTCGAAGTCTTAACCTATACTTTTTTAAACCAAAAAAAAATACGCCAAGAATCGCCAAACCACTAATATGGAAATAGGTGTTAAAATCATAAAGTAGCTTCATGCAAGAATATATATTGTTGTTGTTAAATGTCACCTACAGAGTTTGATATCAAATAGAATATTCCTTATAATAATTAATCACAAAATCTCTTAAATATTCTATAGGTGTACAGTTTCCAATTCATAAAATATTAAAATTGATCAACTTTGTTTCAGGACACAACAATGAGAGTTTTTATTGTGCTCATTTTCTGTGTGTATTATTCCATTGGGGTAAATGCCAAAACGGTAAGAGCAATTTATATCTGGATTTTTTTTTCATTATAATTAAGTATAGAGCCTTAAACCGCTTCTTAGTTATTTCTCATTAGTTCTAAATTCTAATAATTGCATTGAGGAAAATATTGTTAAATATATACCTTTTAACAATTAAAATTATTTTCAAAGTGCTGCACTAAATTTAAAATGTTATGATTTAAAATCATTTATGTGATATTTAGAAGGGTTGCTAATGAAAATAGTTTTATTTTATTTTTTCTAACTTGGGTAAGATTTATTTTTATTGCAACCAACAATGAAAGAGAATGTAGGCATTATACTTAAACAATAGTGTAAGATTAAAACTTATGTGATAAATTCTACTTTTATGAGAAGGTTAAAGGAAAATGAAACTTGTTATTATATTTTTGTGAAGTTGGCCTTATTGCAGCAAAAAAAACAAAAAAAAAACGATGGGAATGAGAATGAGGAAAATAATAATTATTATTATTATAAGACAATTACACAAAACAATATTCTCAAGTTGTCAGCCAAATTTGAAAGCACTATTTTGAACAAAAACTCTTATTAATTTATAAGAAATAAAAAATAATAACAAATGTAGTATGATAACAGCTGCTGAATATTATTCTTTTCTGTAGAATAATCCTCATTATATTATTAGTATTTTACACATATCTTTTTGTTTATGTGGTAATCTTTGGAAGGTTTATCATTTGCAGAAATACATCTTATATTTAAACATTTAGCTCTGTATGCACAACACTGAAACAGTTTTTATAGTGAGGATGCTGAACAAAATTGTAACTCCTAGACATGATGGAAGTCACGCTTTCAGTTGCATGTTAATTAAATGATGCCATCATCAACACATGTTTATCTATTTAAAGAACTACATGCTTTAACCACAATTCTTGCTATAATGCTTACAATGGGCTTACAAGAAAACATTGATAGTAAACAAAATGAAATGCATATAAGGCTATCCAATACTTTTTTAAACTTCAATACTAGGAACAAACTTTTTTCATGAAATGGATGATGCCATATTTTCTCACAGTAAATTACTGGTAAATATCATACAATGGCACTGCAAGACTAGCAAAAAATACATCATATATATTTAGACAAAAAAAATCAGTTTGCAATCCTATAGCTTTACATGACCTATCGACAAACATACAGCATGAAACATAAACTGTACTTCGTAAACTATCAAATGGTGCACAGCATCGTCCTACTTTGCCAAACAGGAAGAGTCAGAACTACTACTTTTTTTTTTGGTAATCATATTTCATCTTTTAATAAGGTGTACAACCCTCTAATACAGAGATTGTGGAGATAAATTATTTATTAAAAAGGCTTGGTAAGTCATCAAGATCACCTTATTACTGTTGTATAAAAATCACATTTTACTCTTGCTAATATTAGAATAAAATGTGTGTAAAATAATTTAAACTTAAAGTCTAATAAATTAATTTTTTAAAGGATTTGTTTAATAATAAAACATTAATATATATATATATATGTTAACTGAGCTATATATTGCACTTAGGAATACAATATTTTTATGGTAGGGTCATCTTGTTGAAGGAGAACGAGATGAACTAGACCTTATTGCTGAAGATGACGTTCTTCTGAACAATAATCCTCATTTAAATAGTGTGGATGGTCTTGGAGACTCCCATGAAGGTGAGTATATGTGGTTATTACTCTATTAATAGAACAGAAAAAACCTAATTCTTGACTCAGTTAATAGTATTAATGTTGGTACTGTTACGACAGTGGAAGTCACATGACGCTGGAGTTTCTAGAAGGATCATGACTGTTCGTGGCAACTCTAGTTTTTTCTAGGCACCCTCTATTTTAGTATATAAGTCCGGCAAATAAAACGGAGATATAATTGCAGATAGACAGATAATTGAGTCAAGCGAGCAGTACTGACCATAAGTAAAGTGTGTGAATTATAGTGTGTGTTTAAGTTAAAGTGACTGTGGAAATTAAGTGTATTGCAAAGTTGTATTGGGAAACTAGTTTTATTTAAGAAAGGACTTGTATCGCTGAAGTTCTTCGGAAAGAATGTTTACTGGAAATTAACAAACAAACAGAGACATAACAGTACACTTATTTCTTTTCTCTTTAAGTATACTTATACATTAATATATGTGTGTATGGATTCTGAGACTATTTTATGTTAATGTTTTGAATACCTTGTACTTAATAGTTAAAATTTACCGTTGATTTAGGAATACACAAAACTCGGTGTAATTGTGTTTTTTTTGGTGGGGGGTTCCAAACACGACAACATGAATGTCATAAATTGAAACAATAGATATTTCAAGACTGTAGATGAAAACACACATTGCTGATATTTCTAAATAATACTTTACTTGGCTTTTTGTCATTTCTTAAAGAAGATTTATATTATTTTGAATCAGTTTTTCAATAACTTTAATAAAAATGAATTTCTGAAATACTGATTATTTAAATGCAGTTTCTTTGCTGTGATATGTGCAAAAAATTTAACTATTAAGCAAACATGTATATAAATGTATTCATTTTTCCAAGTTTTTAAGCATGGTTACAAACTTTTATATTTTCTAAAGTTTACTGAAAGTTTACTGTGAAAAGGAGCATGTAATCAAGTTATCAGAACATTATGTTTCAAGAAGTTATTCACAGTTTTTATTAAAGTTTATGAACTCTTTTCACATATCTATTGTATTATGTAATTACAAATTTGTAGGTGAAGAGAAAATGTTTTGGTACGAAACTGTTCTTTCATTTAATGCCTATTTCAAAAAATATAAGATAATCAAGATAAAATCTTTAAAGGTATAAGTAAAGCTAATGAGATTAGAATGACTAATCTCAATTTATTTATATGTATTTGTTTTGTTTTTACATATATGAAGATGTACTCATATATTTATTAAATGTTACTAAGAATTTTGTGTTTATTACCTTCATTTTGATTTTTACTGGAGTAGCCCACCTGTATGAAAAATGATAATTTTAAAACCTGGATATATATATAAACAGTATTCACCTGACAACATAATACAGGCAGAAGCTTATTAGACTTGTATTTAATGTTTCTTTGTTTATAATTTTCATTATTTAATAATTTTTTTCTGAGTGCAAGCAAAATATTTAACTGTTTTGAAATCTTTCAATGTTATCTAAGCTGCATATTTTCACGTTGCATCCTTTTATATTATATTGGTATTTTACTTGCTTTAAGTATGAATTCTTTATTTACCCTTTTTATTTTAAATGTATTATATATCACAAACTACTTTTAAATGTATTCGATTCAACAGATGTTTGTGCCCACCATCATTGTGGAGCTGGGAAAGAATGTGTTGTGAATGAGCTTAATAAACCAACCTGTGCATGCGTGAAAAAATGCTTACCAGAAAAAGACGAGAGAAGAAAGGTATCTTTTTTTTTAATATTTTCTAATTTTAATATGCAGTGTTGAGTATAAAGATTTTTTTTTATTGAATGGTGGAAAGGAAAAAAGTGCCTGTTTCAATATGTAAGTAGATTTGTTAAAGCAATGTCTCAAAGAACTAATGAACATCTGTCACATATGGAGCTTTTTTTTTTTTTTTTCCACCAACATCAATATCAATAGCACCTTTAATCTGGAGTAAAAATAATAATAACTTTCTGTTTGACAAGTTTGGTATATTCTGAAGTTAAATATTAATAGATATTTTTAATTTTTGGAATAAAAGAAAAAATTGAGGAAAATTACCTCAGATTAAAAAACTTTATGGTTACTATCTTTATGGTTACATCCCTTAATATGCTGTAAGTATGTAATGTCTCTTAGTATACATTAATGCATTAGCAGAAATGTTTCGCTTTCTCAGAAGCTCAAAATGTTTTTCTGTTATAATTAATTATTTTACCATTATCAGCTTTTAATATGTATATGCGTTTGAGGCAAACAAGGTTAAATGGTGTTACACTAATAGTTAAAAACACATAAAGAAAACCGAAACAAAAATGCTTGTAGTCATACATATGAACGTTTTTATTAACATATATTTTTATTTGCTGCACAGTTATGCAGATGATAAAGAGACACTTAATGCTCAGAACAGAATCTAAAAAGTCTGAGAGACCTTAGAAATGTGTTAGTCATCTATTATTATGAAATATAATTTTGAGAATTCGGTGCACAAATATACAAAATAAGAAAGATCAAGGTTGTCAACAGAATGTCATGCAACTCATTGAGTTTGCCCCTCACTGATTAAAATAACTAAGCATCAAAACTAAGCTAAGTAAAGCCTTTCATGTTCATATACTTAGCTAATGTTTAAGAGGTCAAAATATAAGACTTAATTGAATCTTACACTGAATCCCTTCATAAGGACAATTTTAAATAATTCTCAACATCATACATCATCTAAGCAAAATCCTATATAATAGAGAGGAATTAAAAGTTGATTTTAAACTTTAAAAAAAATGTTGAGAAAATAACTATATAGGAATCACGACTAATTTTTTTTGCATTATCTCATCTTTTTTGTGTTGTGACAAAATAACTATAAAAGTGAGAAGTTCACTTCAGAAAAGTACCTATTATTTACAAATAATTGAAATGTTTAAACCCAAACATAGAAATATTCTATGAAATTCACTTATACATACATCTCCTGTTTTTTACAAGTACAAGGTTTTGCTGTTGGCTTTAGTAAAAAATTTGTACTCTAAAGAGTAAATAGGCTTAAATCTATCAGAAAGAGAATTTTGAAATATGAACAAACTAACAAGACGGTGTAATACCTCTGGATGAAAAATAGAGGTGATTAAGATCTCTTTCTTTTCCCTGAAACTACAACAGAACTGGTAATGTAGGTGAAAGTTGAAGTGTAGAGATGAATGTAATGAGAAATGGATATTTCTTACTTCTTAGGTGAGATCAAGAAAACAAAACCTAAGTATAGCTCTTCACTTTGGTACACTTATCTTTTTTATACTATTAAAGAAAAGCAATAAACTATTATGATCATAAACAGATAGTTCAATATGATCTTATTCTTACATACCAGACACAAATAATTATGCTAATAAAAGAGAGAGAAAAAAACTTATATATATATATGAACAGATGAATAACATCCATTTCACTTCTAAAACACGATGCAAAACTAATAATGCTGATGGACAGCAAACTGGAAAAGCATTTATGATCAAAGATTCTACACATAATTAGTAATGTAAATGAAAAGCAAGATGTGAAAATAAATTGTGGAAGCCAAACACACAATTAATAAAGCTAGTGAAAGGCAGATTTTGAAAACTATATGTATCATCATTGATAACAATATGTTAAGATTTTTTTCTAATCATAATACTAGGAAATAATCTAGAATCAAACATTAGGTGAATCACAAAATGAAATACCTGCTAATCTAAGCAGTTTAGGAAGGTAGACTTTCCTTTTTCAGGAGAGAATTAGAAATAAGCAGGAAATTTAAGTATGAAATTCAGACTAAGATTCTTCTTATCAAATAGGTTTTAAAGTGATATTCTAATTTTAATCAAATTATAGAAGTTGTTATTGCTAACACATAAATGTGAAATCAACATAAACACATCCTTTTCATATCTATACTGTTTTCAATCTTTTTATTTGTTACTATAACAGCTGTCACATCATTTTCATTTTATGATGTCTACTGTCATTTTCTATATCAGTGTTTCCCAAAGTGGGAGCTGCAGCCCCCTTAGGGGCTGTAAAGCTTTTTCTGGGGAGCCACCCAAAAATGGGCCAAAAACGAAGATGCTAAATTAATTTTAATTCTAAATAAACAATAAGTTGATAACAATTATGTTGAATTAGTTAAATGATACAGTATGTTGAAAGGAGATGTTATTATTTTTACTATGGCAATGTTTTACAACCACCATGCTAAAGTTATATGTTTTGGGGGGGGGGGGGCTCAAACTTTTTTGTTCACATCAAGAGAGCCTCAAACTAAAAGAGTTTGGGAAACACTGTTCTAGATCATGTATTATTTATGGGATGTTTAATCTTTTATAAATGTATTGTTTACAATATCTTTTAATAAGGTGAGTACCCATTTTATTTGTCAAAAAAAAAGTGTGTTAAGCAAGAAAATGTAATTTGAGAATTAAAGCGAACTCACTTGTGCTTATTTTCTTTTGCAAATACTGACAGTTTTATAGATTCATGACCAAGGTAGTGTTTTCAAATATTAAGACATTTAGCTTTTTGGATTTTTTAGGTATGCTCCAACCATAATGAAACTTGGGATAGTTATTGTGAAGTGTATCGTATGCGATGTCTTTGTAAAGAAGACAGTGAAGAATGCAGCCGGAGGAAGTATAGGCATGTCCACGTAGAATATTACGGAGCATGTCGAGGTAATATTATGTTATTTCAAATAAAAGTAAAAGCAAAAAAACTTATGACTTTAGTTAAGCTATAGATAAAATTGTCTTGATGATAAATGATGACTAGGAAAGCATTGGAAAAATCAGTGATACAATTACATCACTAAAAAAGTTAACTGTAAGTTAATAGATTAATTAATACTGTTAGCTACATATAGAGGCAGTTAGTTAACTGTATAAATTAATCTATTAATTGTACAGTTAACTTTATTACTGATATGTAAAGCAGCCATTTCAGTTTAACTGTTTTAATGCCATGAATGAAGGCTTAATTAAGGAGGATATATAGAAAAATATATGAAGCTGACATCAAACAAGGGACAGCTAGCAAATATAGTTAGTTCTCAAGTAGCTTTGTGCAAAACTTGCAAAATGAAAGTGATATTTTATACCTCGTGTAGTAGAGTACTTTTGCAATCAGACAAATGGTTTATGTGTTAAGGCTTGAAACAGTGGAAGGGTTGATCCATGTTCTCATTTATAGTATTACATTCTAAGCCCAGTCTTGCTGGGTACATTTGCTAGTATTTTAATGTAAAAGACAAGATATAATTTCCCCATATTGTATTATGTTGTAGAACTCCAAGAATGTTCAGAGGAAGAGTTGGCAGATTTCCCACGAAGGATGCGAGAATGGTTGTTCAATGTAATGCAAGATTTGGTTCAGCACCATGAACTAAAAGGTTATTATGCAAAGTTGGAAAAGGAAGCCGAAAAAAGTATTAGTCGCAAGTGGGTTAATGCTGTGATTTGGAAATTCTGTGACTTGGACACTCATCCTGAGGACAGGTATACAGTCTTATTTCTATAAAACATGCGTCATTTCTACATTTAAGATACTCTGGTATAATTCCATTTACGTTTATTTGTGCTTCAGTGGTCATCTAGTAACAGTTCATTCATGCATGTGGCATCAAGTAACATACTATGAAATTATTAATCGTTAGCACTGTTTATTGCAAGAACATTGTTGGTTTAGTAGTGTAAGGCTATATTGCTTTTTATAATTTCATTACAAATCAATTTTTATATTTGTTAGCAGTACAAATGTAGCCGAGATGGAGATTTAAAACAAATAATTGTGGTGTAGTTATGCGTGATTATTATCACAAAAAGATTAAGTAGTGTTCCAGATTATAATAATGACAAATTCTTTCCTCATTTTCCAGTACAGAGAAGAACTGTACACTTAAAGGCATTTATAATACTTGTGACATATTTCTAGAATACTTCTGAAATAAGTTCACCTTTAAGTTGTCGCTAAGTAACATTCATAATTACTTGGTAATAAGATTTTGTTTCTGTGTCAAAGATTCGGTAATAAGGACAGATATATATAAAAAACAAACAAGGTGTAGCCATCAAAAGTTCAAATGAAGTACACAAGTCTTTGTCATACCCCTACAGAGCCGTGTCTCGTCACGAACTCTTTCCACTTCGTGCCCCACTGGTGGTAATGGAACATTGTATTAGCACCTTCCTCAACCAGTGTGATGCTAATAATGACAAAATGATTACTTTGACTGAGTGGGGTGTATGCTTGGGTCTAGAAGAAAGTAAGTATATTAGTAATATATGCAGGTTGTGATCATAAGAATATGTTTATGTAAAAACAGTTACTGTATTACTAGTTGAGTTACATTTAGAAAAATATATTTAGATTTAAACAGCTAAATACAGTTTGATCAACAAAAATACTTAAGTAAAATTTTCTTCTGTAAAATTAATAATGATTATAAAAACCTTCTGACTCTGTATCAAGTATGCTGTTTCTCATTGTAACTTACTACAACTTAGAGATGAAGTAAAATTAAAATAGAATGATAAGAGGATTTTAAATTTGTTGATTGTTTATACGGTAAATGTCCAATACAGGCTTTCAGAAGTAATGGAAATTTAAATATCTTATGTATTGCAATCAGACAAAACCTGTGAAGTATTTGTCTGTCTAGATGAATATTCGTTTTGTTTTATTGCAATAATACATTAATTTTACACATACCATAATAACTATGTGTGTATACATATGTACATAAGGGGGAACAGTTCACTAATTACTTCTTTCTAAAAGGTAGTTTGGCCATTAATCGAGAAAATATTATACACATAGTACATATTTTGGCACAAGCAAAATTTGTATAATTATTTTATCTAAAACTTTTTTAGAACCTATATCTGCAAACATTCTATAAAGTTTTGCTTGTGAAACAATCAACTTAGCTAAAGTTTGTACAAGAGATCAGTAAATTCAAAATGGTTCAAACTGTGACAATAATTTTGAAACTACAGAAGCTTACTATTTAATTTTTAAACACTGTAGAAAAAATTAGGATATATATTAATTTATAAAGTTACAGGACCCAAAAAGTTTCAAGTAAGCAAGCTATTTTTAAGTTGAAACATTTTGCTGCATTTAGCCATTTTAGGTCTGTAACATTAATGATATCTTCTGAACTTCATTAACAAATAAAATACAATTAAAATCACATCTAATTTATCACTAATTCAACTCTTTAATCTACATTAAAACCATTGATACTTTTTTTGTATTTTTGTTTCCTACCCATTTAACCCCTTTGTTCCCAAGCTATGACAATAATTTTGTAAAATTCAGTTCTGAATCTTGTCATATTTTTCATGTTTCATACGAGGGAAACATATAGTAATTACATACAAGATTTATCTTTCAATATCTGTTCTTTGTTTTTCTTCTTCTCATGTAAAACACGATTTCTCTGAAACTAATTTTTTGTTCATGTTTCCTAGATGAAATACTAGATAAATGTGCAGCTGTCAGAAGAAAGCATTAGAACAGATGGATCTTGCCTCCAGCTTGATGAATGGCTATTTATATGCAGATTTAACTTGAGTAATTTTGCAGACTTTACAATGGACAGCCATCATCTTTACTTAGTCTGTATGCCATTGTGTCTTTTAAGTCATTTAAACCTAAAGCTTCTAGTGAATTTACTGACACTAATTTACTTAATTTTAATGAGTAAATGACAATGCACTTATGTATAACCACTTTAACCTCTTTATTTTGATTTAATTTGAACTTGCATGATCCCAATACATCCCCGTCATATTTCATATGAGTTGAAGGACAACAAAGTTACAAAACTGCCACATAAAAAAAATATATATATATGGAAAGGTAATTACATTATGTTAGTATAAACTTCAGTCTTTTTACATATATATTATACAAATATATTTCATTAATTTTTTATTCTTGAAAACTTTATTTTTAATAACAAAGTAATGCTTTTACAATATTATAAGTTCAAGATTTTTAAAAGCAGTACTGTATTGCAAATTTTATACTGAAATAAAGCTTCTTTTTAGCCAAATTTTAAAGTTCTACTTTCTTTACCACGCATAAATGTTAAATTAAAAATGATAAGATAACACTGAAACTCGGAAATAGTCTCTCATAAATGAAAAATGTATGCTGCAATCTCAGTTTCATTTTATTTTTTTATACTTTATAATAAAGTTTTCCTAATGTGAGAATGTTTTGAGTTATGAACATGCAAGAACATTGATTCTCTCACTGACTTTTGAAGTACTTATGAATGATTGTATATAGAAATAAGGGCTAGGGAATGATCCATGCAACTGTGTGAAGGAAGCTTAATATGTGTACAGGTTATGTTTGGCATACCTATATACACAAACTATAAACAATGTTACTACATATCTATATCAGGCCACTTTCACTTATTCATATGTTTATTTTAATGCACGTGCAAAACATTTCAGGATGTGTAACATAGTTCATCTGCCTACATTAGTTTAGACACAATAATTCCCACTCTATTTTGTGTAAAATATAAGTTAATGTGTCTAAATAATAACAAATGGTAAGTATGTAAGCTTACTACACTAATAATTCTTCACTCTGCATAGGTAAGTAGAATATTATGTTTATCAGAAGTATTACAAATGCTTTCATCATGCCATGGAGATCAGTCATTTTCTTACACTACAACTTTACAACTGATATAAAGTTTGGATATATTTAGAAATATTTTCCATTTCAAACTGGATATCTTGCAATTAAAAAGTATATAAACGACTCTATTTTGTTTACTTGAAATTTCGATTTGTAATTTAAAATAAAGTGAAAAATAATAAAAATCAAACTACAAATGTGTAAGAAATTTTCCAACAAAGAAAAAAACCGGAAAACTACTAATAGTTTAAATATATATTGAATAAATAGTTATACAGAAAATTTGATTAATTTTATAAGGTGCAAGACAATACAGAAAATATGATGAAAATTATAAAAATTATTGATTACAATAGAAAGGGTAATTACTGTATAATAATTAACCACTACATGTATGTAAAACAAACATGATAAGTACAACTGAAGGACTTGGCATAATCTCATTCTCATGATTTCCTATTGAACATTAATATGTGATGAAAACTTGTCCAAAGAAGAATACATTAATTTTAACAATCTATATTCATACATTTTCTGAACTGGTGTTTTTAATGAAAATTCTAGAGTTCTATAGTGATACTTCATGACTTGCTGTAAATGTAATAGATTACACACACACTGATTATCAAGCAGTTTAAGTCTACCTCAAAGATTAGAAAGAATGACAGAAATTAATTTTTTACAATATTGCTCTAAATTTCAAGAATAAGTTTTATATAATGTGTTAATTTTCCTTACATTACTTTGGTATAATGCAGTATGTTATCTTTCACATTAGCTTAAGTTTTCATGAGGTTTAGGAGCTACAATAAAAGAGATTCAATGTCATGCAGCAAGTAGAAATTCAAATAAATAGTAATGAAACATTGACTAAAAGTGTTAGTGTTATTTTATTTTTGAAAACATGGATGCATATAAGCAACAAATAAAAGATAAATTTCAGGTGTATACAAGCTTAACAGTGGAAATTAATTACATGATAATGAGACAACAAGTTTGAGAAACAAATGTATTGGTAGAATCAACATGATTTTTGTTTATAAGTTATGGAAAAAATCTGTTATTGAAAAACTAACAATTTCATACAAATAAGCTTGAACCACTTTTAAAATCCATTCATGGAATAAAAGTTTATTGAGCCATATATAATGTTTTGTGCCCCTATTCTATCTTCTATAGAAAATATGATTTTGGAAAATGTTTTTTTTTCTAATAAATAAAATAAATCCTTGTAGTAGATTACTTCTCAAAAAATTTCAATATATTTAAAAAAAAGGAACTCAATTTTTTAATTTGGTTTTCCATACAAGTACAATTTTCTGACACTTTTCTAATAACATCTGATAAGGTGAACTAGAATAAATCTTTTTTTTTTTCCAGCTACAACTTCTCCATGTACATCAATAATTCTCTGTATTTCAAATACTATCCTGGTTGTCATAAATTTAATAAAAATATTTTTTACATGTAAAAGATTAGCAATTGTCATATAATATGATAAAATTAAAAACTAAGAAATTTAGAATTTCAGCTTCCGAGTTATTTATGGATATTGAGACTAAATTTTATATACAAGTTTTTAGAGCCACAATTGTATTGAAAAATATGTTATATTTCATAATTGCTTAAGAATGGAATATTCAGGAATTAATTATATTTTACTTAATGGTAAAATATCAACTAAGTTACTGTAGAGGATCTGATCACTGACATAAATTAATCCTTCTTGGTTATCATTTTTCTGACTGATATTTCATATGTGAAAAACTATAAATGGCCATTTGGAAATAATGGTCTTTTGTATTTATCATATCATAAAACTTTTCAGTTATATGTATCATTTAAGTTCTTTTCCACATTGAAATGTATTAAAAATTAATGAACATCAGTGCAGTGCATACATAATTTATCATTTTATAAACAACAAAACAATGAAAATAAAATTCAAATATAAAAATCTTATTACAAAAACATTAATTATATATTAATTGAAATTTTTACTACAAAATAAAAATAAAATTCAATTATTTGAAATTAGATTGTTTCCATTATACCTGTCACTTTAATTGTAAAATGTCTTGCCTGAAAAAAAAAGCTCACAAATAAACTTAAAAACCTGAGATACTAAATGTATAACACAGTCACCCTGAAAGTATAATTTTATAGTCTTTCATGTAATTCTAACAAGAAGGCTGCATGTAATCAAATCTACGTATTTGTTATTTGATGATAAAGAATGGTCACAGTAAGCATGGCTATATTAATCAACTTGTTTGAATAAATACATTAGTCATTAAGTCCTGAACAACATACATTGTTTTCATCCTTCAAACTCGTATTTATCTTCAAGTTATTACAATGTTTCAATAATGATCACATTTGTAATTAAACAAATAATGAAAGTGTGTGTGTGTCTGTATATACATACACACAAAATAAAAAACAGAACATTCAGGTATTTTATATGCAACTTTTCTCTTCATCTATAATGTATGTGACCAAGCTGAAATCATTAATGAAGTTATATTCTGAAAAGTCTTCACATCTAACTCTTTTAGAAAATATTATTAGTTACAAATATGCTTGAGCAAATCAAAACTTCACCTGTTCAATCTTTGTTATTATTCTCTTAAATAATCACCAAAAAGGCTTCATTAATTTTTGAAATAATGGAACAATGCTTTAGAAAGTTTATTTTAACTGCCAGAATTAATAGTTACCTCTTAGCACTTATAACTACCAATGATACAGTCATCATAATATAGTATGAAGAATTATTACAATATTGTAAATTTTGTTGTTCACCACACATTAGTTGAATATTTCATGATCATTGGCAAAAACAAATGAACATTGTCTGTCCTACTTCAGCTCTGGCAGTATGTAAAAGGCCTCACTGACACTGAGTATTGCAGATATATTGTGGTTTACATATTATTATATTCTCCTTTACTTTCATTCATAAGTTCTTAAAATATACAAGTTAGAAAAGCTAGATCTTCACGTAAACAGAAGAACAATAACAGAACAAATAACTTGGTAGATCGAAAGAGAAAAGGTACATCAACCTAAACAGTTATATGATGTATGAAAATAAAATATAAAAATATGGAATAAATACTGTACTAACACAACTCCTTTGACAAAACTTGATATAAAGATATGAAAAAGCCAAAGAAAAGTTAGTTGCACTGCTTCTGTGAATGTATAAACATGAGTGCATTATTGAATAGAAGGTTCAGTAATATGAAATGTTTATTCAATGTTAAAATTTATATCTCTTTATCAGCATATATTTCATTATATTATTTTTTTTTGTTTTTCGTCAATGGCTTTCAAAGTAAAAGGCACCCTTGTCCATGTTTCAGTAAAGTTGGGATTGGTTAGAGATAGCATGTTGTTTGTAATTAAGCACAAAGCTACACAATGGGCTATCTGTGCTCTGCCCACCACGGGTATCAAAACCCGTATTCTAGCGTTGTAAATCCACAGACATATCGCTGTGCCACTGGGGGGCTTAGAGATAGCAAGCAAGAATTAATAAAAATTTTAACTAAAAAAGAAAATTTTAAAGTTTGAAAAAAAAACTACAATTGGCTAGAAGATAAAAATGACAGAAGAGTGGTTCTCACCATGCATTTATCAAACATTAAAAATATCACATCATATTTATTTCTTTGTTGTTATTTTATATGAAACAGCCCTGTAAATAAAATACACTACCAAGTAACACATATTCAGAATGAACATTTATCACCTCTCAACAAAGACAATCAAAATAATAAACTACAATTACTTTATCACCCATTACTTAAGCAGTTTATTTACTACAATGAAATAAGATTTTTTTTTCTAAACGTAACTTGGTTGTTTTACCAGCTACAGCACAACTAAAACAGAAGACAACAAAGTGAAGAAATACATATTGTAGATTTCAATAGATTTGTTCTTTCTTTTAAAAGCACACATTTACCTAATTTAATAAAGTGTAAAACAAATTGTCTCTAACATACACAACATAATATTATAATGAAAGACTTCAGAAAACATACTGTGATCAGTTAAGAAACAACACAAGAATGAAATTTATTGAAATGATTTTCAGTCATTTACATTTTCACCAGAAAGATCTAAAAATTAGTATTGATTTAAACATATCAATGTATTAGTGGTAGAAAAAGGGAAACAGAAATGCAGTTCTTTTATATGGGATATATTTTCACTTCTGTTAAGTTTTCTAAATTTTGTTTAGTTGATTTTTATACCATATTTAAGTTATTCACATGAGAAAAAAAATGTTACTGTGATAAAAGATACTAAGCACTGTTAATTTAGCTAGTAATATTTTAGGTTAAATTCTGTTAAGTCCAACTGAAAAGAAACAACGGATTATTTTTTCCAAAACAAAGAGCTATGATTATATACAAAAATCAAAAATATTACACACCTACAGTGAATGACTGACAATTGCTATGTAAAGAAAGAGAATTAATGTACAGAAAGGTGCAATGATGTATGCTGAGAGATGGTTAGAGTCTATCACGTAATGAAATAAAGTCACGAGTGATATGCAGTGGAACAGGGCAAGATCATGATTATATAATGAAGAATGCAATGGCATTTATTGATTTACAAGTGGTTAAACTTCATTTTAAACTCAAAAATATTTTATTATAATGTTTATTTTGCAAGATGCTAATATTCATGTGGTAGAAGTTATTCCCACGACTAAACATTCCTAAAATCCATGCCATAGATTGTTAACTAAAAAGAATTTTCTGATTGAAACTAGAAATCTGACATGTATCTAAATATATAACTTCTCTTCTTGAAGATTTATGTATGTGTAATCACATGTAAACAGTGTAACTGAATCTCCAATTATGTTATCTACAATTTATATTCTCACTTATATGTACTGTTTTATTATATATATATATATATATATATATATATATAGTATTCATTGATATGTTTATGGTAATAATTGTTTTCTTCAGCTTAAGAATCTTTAAAAAATGTTCCTTTGTATTTTCTTAAGTTGAAATGCTCAGAAAAATATGTCTTTAACAATACCTATAACAAAGGAAATGTCATGATGACTGTTCAGCAAAATCTGTATCTTTACTCTCATGTAATACAGTGCAAAATTCTTTATCTATCTTATACAGATGTCTATAACATATAATGTGAATTCCAATTATAAAATTGTTTCTCTTCCCTTACTTATAACATTGTGCTTGAAGACTAAAGCTATCTAGGCTTATTGAAAGAAACCTAGTAACATACTTCACATTTAATATGCTACAACAAATAACTTTAACTAATAGTAATATATGCTACTAGAACACCATTTGCCAAAGCAATTGTTATGACATATTATAAGAAACACAGAGCAATTTGATTACCTAAAAGCACATGTAAAATATACTTTATATAACAGTTATTACAAAGTGGTTGTGATTAAAATACTGCAATATGGCTCACAGCAGAATCTCATTATTTTGTGAAGGCTGGGACGAAGACAATAAAAGAATACTAAATTACATAACTTACACATTTTAATTAATTTTCTTTTAGTTATAAAACTTTAATATGCCATTTCCTAGGAATCTCAAATTCAGTGTGTATCATATTATTAAAAAGAAACCACACTTTTTAGCTAATAAGGTGGTAAGTCACATAAAACGAGTTTCTACAAAGTTTAAACCATTTTGATATCAAGTTTTCAGTCTTATTCTATTAAAAGTTATATCTATTTTACACAATTCTTCTCATGTTTATGTACATGACCTTAAATGACTATGATAGATATCACTTGTATCATCCTTGCAGAATCTTTCTTTTAATCAGGAATGTCCCAAATTCCAGATAATTTTATATTTAAACCAAGTATTTATTTTTATTTTATTTTGGTCCAGTGAATATATATTTAAAGTGATCCTTTTCCTACTAAGGTATGTAGCAAACATTTTCTAGCAGTATTTAAGTATTTAAATATTAACCAATAATGTTAGAGCACAAAAAGCTGTAAAATAGGAAAATAACTGTTTGGAATCTTATGCTTTTTTTTTATTAGAGAAGGAATTAGGGCACAACTCCCAATATTTTCTGTGAAAAAATTTTCAAACAATCATTCATAAATATTTAATACTTTCAGCAAATAAGATGCCATAAACAATAGAGACAGCTTACACTGGAATTTATCAGGGTCAAACATAGCCATTTCATTCTTACATTACTGCATGCTCATAACATGCTCAAGCATGAAAATAATTTCCAAATTATTCATATTTCTGTCACCTTAACTATTTATAATATTTATTTGCAAAATTAATCATAAAAGCTGTAGGCATTCTCTGTAAAAGAGACTTGCAATGAGTTAACTGAACCAAGTAGTTTTTGTGACTTTTTTATGCTTATATTTTTGTACTGCATAGGCTGTACTTTAGGCCTAGAGTAGTTACCATTTGCAATTAACATACATTCCAGCATACCTCCTTATTATCATGCAAATTAATAAATTTATGAAGTCAAAGTATATGTATGTTAAATACACACATTTTTACCTTCCTGGAAAGAAATTATCTTCAACTGGTAGAGGAAGAGACAGGGAATCTAAAGTTGATTCATGGGTACTAAATGCATCAATGCAAGTCAAGATGGTGAACACAGTAAAGTTAAGTCAACCAAAAAAGTAGAGGCTACATGTGACCATCTTTAGCCATTGAAGGATAATAATACAAAACAAAAACTTATTCAAAATTACCTACATAGATCAAATTTCAAATTCCATTTTTGCAAATACAAAAATATACTCACAAAACCTTGTGTTGGCAAGCATTCATATCAGAAAAAGCAGTTCCATGAATATGATTTTATCAGACATTTTGTCAAGAAAAATTGCTCAACTCCCTGTTTTATGTGCAGTTTTCATGTAATCAGAAACACTTGGCAAAGGCAAAACTCCTGATTTCACAGTTATACTGAAACTGGAGGGTAGTTTGGTCTGACTTAAATAAGCAGGTGTCTACTGACTATCACAAAGCATCCCAAGTAGTTAGAAGGTTTCTTTAAAGCAATGTGTAACTTTTCACTGAAATATGATTGCAAAATATCTGACAAGAATAAAAAGCTTGTTGAAGAAACATCAAACTATCTTAAAGTCTATTGTTAAGAGTGTTGAGTTTTATAGTCACCAAGGGACAGCATTAAGAGGACAAAGAGATGATTCAACATTAGAATAATTTAGGCAACTTCAAAGCACTCCTCAACTTTCACATAGAAGTATTTGATGAAAGCTTAGACGATCACACCAAAGAAAGCAACATAACGTACTCAAAACATGTCAGATGATCTTCTTTCAAGGCGAAATAGTGAATGAAATAAAATTTCAAGCTATTTGGTCACAGTCTTCTACCCATGCACATGAAGTGTCTGATACTGCTAACTGAGAACAGCTGGGTTTCATATTCCCCTAGCAGAAGGACAATCAGTCTATAGAAAGATTACTGGAATTCATAGTTTCTGACAGTATCACCAGTGAAGCCATTTGCTCCAACATTGTGAAAAAACTTGGTCTTAAAGTTGAAGACTGCTGAGGGCAAACTTCTGATGGGGATGCTAGTGGTGGGTAAGTAAAAGAGGTATACTGTTCAATATTTGAAACTGGCACTTCATTCACCATACTTTCCTATTCTAGCCATGATTTGAACTTAGCTTGTAGTTTGGTTGTAGTACACTGCATGCAGGAAAGGGTTTTCAAATAGCATACAAAGCCATAATCTACTGTCTCAACCACATCAAGCTCAGAGGAGACAACTGTGATTCAGACACCAAGTCAATGTTACAAGTAGATGGCTTAATATCCAAGATAATCTCACCAAGCTTCATTGCAGCTTTCCAGTACTGAGGTATGTTTTAGATATAACAAATCTCTCAGTGTCTTACTTCAAAACAGTAGCGTATGAGTGTAACAAATGAACATACTGAAATAAAATTAATTACCGACATACTTAAATACATTACAAGTAACGCAATCAAAGATTTTGAATCTGTGCATACAGACATGATAGAAATGGTCAAATAAACTGAAGCAATGTCAAAGAAGACACACCAGAAACATACTGGAGAAGGACAGATTTATTTCTATGTATTGACAACTTGAAGACAAACATGTATATTCTAGGGTTTCAAGTCTATCTGAAAAAGTCATACCGGTCTGCGTCTGCTTCCATGCAACATAAATTCACAGAAGAAAAATAATTCTGTGAAACTGATCTTCCATTAACTTCTTTTGATCAAAAAGTCTGTCTTTGGGCACATTGGTGGAAAAGTGGAAAGAAGATCCTGAAGAACACACTTTGTGTTATAGGTAGGTTACAGTTTCCAGACTTCTGTCAACTTTTGTCTATTTTACTGATGGTAAATGTCACAAGTGCCAACAGTGCTGGAGGAAACACCTTTCTTTTAAAACATAAAAAAATAAGTTTAAAAGTATTACGAGCACGGACAGACTAAATGTGCTCTTACTTTTGTTTGTTCACTAGACATATCATTAAACTATGATGACATAATTAAAAAATGTGCAAAAATTCATCAAAGAAAAATGATTTTGATTAAACATATGGAGTGATAATGTGTTAATAAAGTACTATATAACCTGAACACTGACAGTTTCACTCAATATCTACTATCTTGAAACAGCTGACTTTTTTGTAATCTAGTAAATTAATAATTTTTAAACTCAATATATAAATTAATATCCAGCTTCAAGGACAGAGTGAGCATCAAAAATCTGCTGTAAAAAAGACAACATTCTGGATCTTCAGTGTAGGTGCTACCTCGGTATATTAGTCTGATCAATATAATTCAGTATCAGTAATAACCATAACTTAAAATCTACTAATCTGGCATGAATTTACAATTCAAATATGTGTTTTAATGAAAACAAATCACAAATTTTCACAACTATGGCAATGCTGCTTCTTCTACTGCTTGCATAATTTCTGGATCCATTTATGAAAACTACATTGTAAGTATTTCAAAATAGAACCATTTTGAAATATGTTTGCGAGCCAACACTTTAACTTATACATATAAATAATATAGACATATACAAACACATACAAGCACACACATACACACACATACACATATATATATATATGCACCATAGAGCATGTATCTACATCAACACACACACATATATATACACTGTATATATATATATATGCACCATAGAGCATGTATCTACATCAACACACACACAAGGTTGAAGGCCAAACAGTTTTCAGAACAAAATTATTTTCCTTATTCACAGATTATTGTTCATTATTACAAAATCAGTACAATACCTTGGGCTCAAATAAAAATATTACTAGTGAAGAATTTATTTCTCAAAATCCTATACTTAAAACCTTAACATAATGAGATTCTGCTGTCGTTTTTTGTGTTTAGTTACAAATTTGTCCAATACCAATTACCACCTTCTATCCTATTCATTACCATGGTTGCTAAAACACCTTCATATAAAAAAATACACTCATTTCAATGTTTAAACATTGCCAAATTTCAGAATTGCAAATAAAGTTCATGTTATATAATAGGTTATTTGAGTGATGATAGTTAAATACATTTTAAGCTAAAAGAGTAGTGGAAGGTAGATGTTTCTATATTTCAATTTGTATTCTTGGGACACTACCAATTATGCCAAATTCTTGGCATGTCACAAAATCAAAGTGACTTCTTGCTGAGAACTTCTCTAATGTGCAATTAACCTAAAAAAAAGACAAAGAAATAATATTTTAATGAAATGAATACTTTTTTATAATCAGAATATATGATAAGTGCAATGCAAAAGGAAATTGAGCAAAATTTCAATCCAATAGAATTTTTTATTATATGAACAGTGGCATCTCCAAGTTTCAATCAATAATAACATATAAGAATGTACCACAGAAAATAAGAACCTGGGGTTAACAAGAATGAAAAGTATTAACTGATGCTTATACTTAAAATATGTTGAAGGAATATAGTTAATTTATGCATCACAATAACACTACACAAAAAAATTGACACATAAAACATTTACTCGTTTATGGATCTTAATTAAGACAAACAGTAACTTAAGTACTCACCACACCACATAACATTAGAGTGAATTGTGTCATTCACTGTTGGACTGTTGAGGAGTCAGTTAAAACATACTAAACACTAAAGTGAATTGTATCATTCACTATTGGACTGCTGAGGATTCATATTAGACATAAAAAACAATAGAATGAATTAATTCATTTACTGTTGGACCACTGAAAATTCACATGATATATAACACCAAAGTGAATTGTATCATTTACTGTTGGACTGCTAAGGCTTCATATTAAACATACAAAACAACAGAATGAATTAAATATTAACTGTTGGATTGCTGAGGATTCACATTAGGTATAACACCAGATGAAGTTTGTAATTCACTGCTGGACTACTGAGGGTTTAGATTAGATATAATGCTAGAGTAAATTATATTATTTACTGTAGGACTACTGAGGATTCACATTATATATTTCACACTAGAATGAATTGTATCATTCACAGCTGAACTGCTGAGGGTTCATATTAGACACATTAAACATTAGAGTGGATTGTATCATTCACTGCTAGACTACTGAGGATCCATATTAGACATAACACTGTTCAACTGTTGAAGATTCATATTAAACACTACTGGACTGAATTGTATCATTCACTGTTGGACTACTGAGAGAGATTTTTTGCAGTGATTTAGGATGGTTTTCTACACCAAATGATCAGATAGCCAATTAGATGTAATGCCATTTTAGATTTATTGTTAACCACCAATGATTACAAGAGTTAAAATGAGGAAAGATTTGGGGAAGATTTAATATTTGACTATTCAAATATACTACTTTACTTTTAACACCATTTTTGTTGAACAGATTGTATATAATTATTAACTAAGGTTACTCAATACTTCAATGGAAAACAATCACCTGTGCATATCTCAAAGAATTATGGACAAGTATTGAAGAGTACACCAATCAAACAAGACAGTATTAAGTTACAATAAAGCCATTTACTGTCCAAACAATTATTTATAGTTCAATACCTTATTGCTCACTACATGAATATCTAAAACCATTATATGAGAGGAAGAACATAGGACAAATAATACATAATACCTCAACTTTACCAACAAGTTTTCAACACTCCCTTTTAATACCATTTACAGGTTTCTACATTGTTTTAACCATTGTGTTGCTAAAAGAAGGTTGACAGCTAGAGAATAAAGTGTTTGAATGTGTCAAAAATCTTTTTCATGTGTGTTGTCTATAAAATTCAACAAATGTTTTACTGATAACCTTTCAAGATAATATTCTGAAAGAAGATGAAAAACGTAGTGTAATAACATATTTTACTCACCATTTTCCTCAATACATAAACGTTTTATGACTGTCACCTGTCTAGCTGAGTTTCCAGCTGAGCTTCAGCTGTCATTTTCTCTATCTTTGATATTAATTGTTCTGCCTCTTGGTCAAATGTATTCATATACACAGTTTCGTTACTGTAAAATTCATCTACATACATTACAATATATTACTTTACATAACTAGCCTCATACAAGTATCTTAAAATATTTTAATTAATACATAATCTAAATTCACAAAGTCTGAGCCAAGTTCTATAAATTTTTATATTAATAATTTTTTTTCCTGCAAACTCATTAGTGAAACACAGATTATCAGTTTTCTATAAAATATGGAATCACTCGACCAATAAAAGCAATAAGAAAGTATAGACTCTAGATAAATTTCATGAAATTCAACAATTATGCTTCTAAAAAACTTAATATTTTATATACAATCTATAATTCAGAAATGATAATCACCTCTCTGCACCACAATGAGCCAGTACCTCACACACACTGCCATGCAAGTTTCTGTACATGCCACATGCCTTGAAGAAAAGCTCTCACCCCTATACATGTCAACATGTATTTCACAAGCCTAAGATGTGATCATCATTAGACTATAGTCCTCCAACAATAAGAGGGCAACACATCCTCCTTGTGCAATAATTCCCAGGAGCACTAACATTTGAACACAGACTCATTTTTTCCTCAGCACTGCTTCTCTTGAGATTGTTTTTTTCCTTAAGATCTGCCAGAATTTTTGTGCTTTTTGTTTTAACTTTTTGTTAATATTCGACTTTTAGGACAAATGTCCCATTGTTTAATCCAACATGCGAGTTTCATCTACTTCTCTTCAAGGTCATAATCAGGCCTAGGCACCATTGCTATAACTGGCTTATTTTCTTTCTAGCTTTAAAAAAACAACATTTTCTATGTATTAGGCCATCAAGAAATTAATGTTGCGTTTTGGAACACTTTCATTAACCACCCCCCAAAAAATGTACACCACATATAATACATAAACGAACCACCTAAATGTCACATTAGCGTAGCCTATATAATGTGTAAAGTTTAGTATACTCTAATCCCTTATAGTGATGGCACACGACAAGACACATTCGGCATGTAATGCTGTTTGAATAAAGAAGGGAAACAAATGCCTCTGTAGCCCCAAAGAATATCAAAGAAGTTTATGGAAATCTTTTGAATGTTCATAAATGTCAACGATGGTTCAGCAAATTTTGTTCAGGTGACTTTAGCCTTAAAAATTGTGATGGCACGGGCAGACATGTTGGAATTGATATTGATGCTCTGAAGACGCTTGTTGAGTCTAACCCA